TGGGCATTCGCTGCTATGAATTTCCTTCATAAAACTGCTTTCACTGTGTCCCATAGATTTCTCTATGTTGTACTGGCATTATTGTTTAATTGTAGAAACTGTCTAATTTCTTCTGTGACCCATTGGTTGGTCAGGAGGGTGTTATTCAATTTCCATGTGTTTGTGGGGTTCTTGCATTTTCTTATGCTGTTGATCTCCAGTTTTATGGTCTGATAATATACAGGGGATAACTTCAGTTGTTCTGCATTTACTTGTTCTTTGAGCTAAACATGTTCTGGTAATAGTGTGCGGTCTGTTTTGCAGAATGACCTGTTCTCGCTTTTGTATTGAAGTACGTTTCACTTTTTCCATCTTTTTAAATGTAGAAATAAAGGCTTACAAAAAAACAAGGAAATAAAGATTTTTTTTTTTTTTTTTTTTTTTTTTTTTTTTTTTTTTGGTACCAGGGATTGAACTCAGGTCCTTGTGCTCGTGAGGCAGACACCAGAACCACTGAGCTAAATCCCCAGCCCCAAAGAATATTTTTTTTAAAAAGTCAGTATATAGGTAGAAAAGATTTATTTATTTAGTTTAGTTTAGTGTTTTTGTTTGAGAACTCAGAAGAACAAAACCTGATAGCTGTTATGTTCTATTGCTGTGCTTCTGTGTAAAACTGGGACATTTTTCCCGTGTAAAGTGTACGGATATTTTCAGTTTGTTAAAGAAGTACTACCTCTGCCTTCATTTCACAGTCCTTTTCTAAGTGGCATAGTTCAAATTCATTCTTTGTAAAGTAAATCCATTTGCTTTAGTCTTTGTGCTTTGTATACTTAATAATTTAAGTTTACAAATAATTTACATGCTGCTAGTGATTTTGACTTCAGCATTTAACATTTTCCAAGGAAAAAGTCATTCAACATTTGAATCATCCTTCCGGGTCAAATCTTAACGATGGACTAGAGATGTAGCATTCTGGTTTTTAACACCAATCTCTTAGAAGGTATTCATTTCCTTCTAGAGGCACTGATAAGTTTTTTTAGCGCAGTCTCTTTTACCATTGTACCTCCTCTTTCCTTTGGCTAATATTCACCAGCTTCCTCATAGCAGGAATATCCCTTTGGCCACTATTTACTGATTACTGGCCAGATGACAGTTTGTATATTACCTAGCCTAACTCATCTCCGTCTGTGTATAAATCTTCGGAAGGTTTATAATCAGGCCAGCATAATAATACATAATATTATCAAATACCTGCTTGTACTAGGCATTAGAACTTTAATGTATTGTTTCTCTTAATCATCAGAACAACCTTGCCAGGGGGAAATAATTATTGTCGCTCTCATTTTTCAGTTCAGTAAATTGGGATATTTATAAATAATTTGTGTAAAATCATTTGGATATAGATACGTTAGCTAAAGAATGCCAATTTAAATTTGAATCTTAAATCAATGAATAATAAACTTTAGTTAAAATAAGTATCAAATATTGCAAAATCTGTTAGCCTTACTTGAAAAATAAATGGTAGAGCTGGGATTTTAAACCGTACAGTGTTGTTATAGGGCCCAGTATCTTAATTACGGAATTACATTGGACCCAGAGAATAAAACTTGTTGGGACATTCAGGATTTGGATGGTAGCTACTACTTATATGTGATTAATTGTTTTACTCAAGTTTTTTCCCCCAACTAACTGTATTACTAGAATGTAGAATTACATGCATTCTTTTTGTTTTGAAATGTAATATTCAACTTAAAGTAAATCCATACGTGCTTTTTCTTTCCTCTTGCTTAAATCTGATCATTTTAGCCTTTCTCATCCATATAAGATCATTCTTTTTTACTCAGCTTTCCGCAGAAATGGAAAGATTTAATTACATGTATGTGCTAAAAAGATGCATTTTCCTTTTATGTATATAGATAATGTCAAGGGAATGACACTTAAATATGATATTTGAAAAGGTCTTTGAAATATGTTGTGTATGTTTTTAAAACGTGAGAAATTGTGAAGTGTAGATGTGGAATTGAAAGAGGCTTTTACTAGGGATTACCAGGAAAGCTGTCTTTATCTGCTAAGCAGTCGTCTAGGAAAGTGAAGCAGTAATGTTTCCAGTTGAATTGTACTACAAGTCAGATTGGGCTGTTTTTATACTGCATCCAAAAACTTACTTTCAAAAAGTAAAAACCCAGAAGAATGAATGATGCCTGTTTTAAGTTTGATACTTTTTACTTTCTACTTTGAGCAAAATTACAGACCACATAATGTAAAAAGACGTTTAAAATGAAAGGCTGGGTGTGTGGCTCATGCCTGTAACCCCAGCACTTGGGAGGCTGAGGCAGGAGGATCACTGTGAGCTTAAGACCAGCCTGGGCTACATAGTGTGAGTTCCAGGTCAGTCTCAACTACATAGTGAGACCCTGTCTCAAAAAATAAATAAAATAAAATAAAATGAGTGAGCCAAGTGTTTAAGGCTTAGAGTCAAGGAGAGTGGAAATTGAAGAGAATTGTATTCCTTAGTGAAACTAGCTCACATTCAAAGGATGCTTGTGAGGAAGTTTTCACTTGCGTAGAGGGAATTAAATATTGGGGTAGAATTTGGGGAAAATTCCAGAACAAAAAGTGGATGAGAATCGAGAGTGTGAATCTCGGGGGCTGTGATGCTGTTTACTGGGATTGGCCTCTTTTAATCTGTTCCATCTTCATATGTTTTCAGGCATAGTGTATTGACAGATTTGTCAATGGCAAAATATCTCTGACTTTGCAACGGCAGTCATTGCAAAATTAGTAGTTCCTTTGTAGAAATTAGCACCAAATTATTTTGGACCACCTCTGTTCTATGTAAGTGAACCTTTCTATCAGAATTTTCAGAAGTCACCCCATTGCTACCCAACCAACTTATTATTTTCTAGAATTCATGAATGGTCATTTACATTTTGTATTTTTAAATATAAGTCTAGTATGATCACCTTTGAGAAACACTGGAGTAGAAGATGTCAATTAAAGAAAAGTCTCATATTATCTAAATCTTTCCATTAAAAAGCGGTGTTTTAATTCAGCAAAACTGAGTGACTCCTAATTTTTTTAGCCAAGAAAATTTTCTTTAATGTCAACTATTGTTAATAAATGTGGGGCCGGCGACAGAGAGATGGAGACTTATGACCAACTTGATTGGAATTCGGTTTTCATTTGAGTGACTTCAGTTGAAGAGAAACTCTCTTCCTTTTAAACTGTAGTCATGTGTTGCTCGATGGCAGTATGTTCTGCAAAACACATTGTCAGGACGCTTTGTCGTTGTGTGAACGTCGTTCTGTACACTAACCCAGACCGAGACAGCATGGCCTACTGCACACCCAGGCTGGCAACGCATTGTCTGTCTGGTCTGCACTGACCGCAGTGCCATCCTGTGACTCGTGACTGTGAGTGTAAGTGGATTTTTTCTATTCAGCTAGTAAAGCTTGACAAATGGATTACTTTCAATTGCTTTTGAAACAGCTGTAATGCCACATTTGAATTTCCACCTGGGCTCACATTCCACTGTGCTTGTTGCTAGTGGCTTACTCTCTGCTTCTTCAGTTATTTGGAAATTTTAGGATCCTAACACCCACCTTGAAGTTTTGTGTGAATTAACATCACAAATTTATTCAGTAGCTGCTTACAGAATACCCGACTGCTCAGCCCTGTGGGTGTTAGTGAGCACGATGAACTTCTCCTTTTCAGTTAGTGGGAGAGACAGCTGACACCTGTAAGAAAAGAGAAATGTAATTACAGGTACCAAGCCATAAGCTCTGGCACATACTCAGAATTTAAAGTGGCAGAGCAAGGAATTGAGCCCATGTCCCCTTGCCTCTGAAACAATTTCTACTGCATCCTGTGGCCGAAGTAGTTGAGTCATCCATTTGTTGCTTTAGAGGACCCCTTTCAAAGAGAGTAGCTCAGTATGTCAGTGGGTTGCTGGTAGGCACTGCATTAGGGAGAAACTGAGGCTGAGCCACTTTTTGTATATACCATTATTAAAGACTCAGGTTTATGTTACAATCATTATGAGTATTTTATATTTGGAGCTCATTATTACTGCCCACCTGTGTATGTCTTGTCTTCTCAGTTGTGTGTCTTCTACTGCAGTGGTTCTCAAACTCTGTGCACATCACAACCACCTCAGAGTGTCTGATTCAGGGGGGTCTGGGGCCGGATCCACAGTTTGCATCCCTAACATATTCCCACGTGATACTGATGCAGCTACTCTCGGACCACACATAGAGAACTGCTAACCACCGTTTGTCCCTGCGCGGCATTTACGGTGTGTCTGCCATTTAGCCAAGATGTTCTCTCTCCTCTGACTCTTCCCTTCACTTCTGCTGCATTTACTGAAACTGATATTCCCAAATTTTAGTGTGTATTAGGATCACCTGGGAAACCTGTTCACAAAGACATTCCTATTTGGACTCCAGAGCATTCATTTTTAGCATACACCCTCGATGTTACTGCAGATGGATGACCCATGCATAGCAGCTTGTGAAATGTGGACTGTATTACAGTGGGTCATGTTCTCATTGCCATGAGTATAGTTCATATTTGCATCTGATTGTTTTCTCTGTTTCATTTATTTGTCTTCCTTCTGCCAGCATTCCCAAAGGGAAGAAATCCATCTTGGTAACTGTAATATCTGAGTGCCTAGCACAGTACATCGCCTATGTAGTGACCTTGCCACTGATGGCTGTGTCGCCAGAGGCTGTGCTTACTCTCAGCCTCTGTTTTCTGTGGTACAGCGGTGGTAGTGATGCTCACTGCCATGGAAATCAGCAGCTCCACCATGTGTATAGACTACGTAGTAAGCGATAAGCAGAACACACTCCATTGTGTGGTTGCTGTTGTGTTACGGGAGGGAGAAACTCCAATAGTGTGATTTTAGCATCCATTTCAGTATATGTGCATAATACTTCAGCGATGTCTATTTATGTATTTTGGTAATTTTAATAAAATACTGTGAAGTAAAATTGAGCCTTGGGCTTCTTTTTCTTCCATAGGAAAACAGAGAAATCGCTTGGAGCCAATGGATACCATATTTGTTAAGCAAGTTAAAGAAGGAGGACCTGCCTTTGAAGCTGGATTGTGCACAGGTGCTGACAGTCTTTAAACTTTAACGCCTTGTCATTTTCTTCTCTACTTCCTTCTTCTACATTATATTCCATACTTTTTCCTTTCCTACCCTTCTATATGATATGTTTGTCCCTTTTTCTTCACATCTGTTGCTGCTGTTTTTGAGACCTAATTATATTTCTTGATAACACATATGCATGGGGTTGAACAGGAATAATGCAAATTATAAATCATGGCACTTTCGTTACCCACAGATAATAGATGTGGAAATGCTTTTGAAGAGTTATTTTTCATACACTAAATTTTACAAAGGATTAAAAAGTGGCAAACTGATGGTGATTGATATAATTGAAATAGTCTTGGATCCCCAAGTTCTAGAAGTGTTGGATCAGCCGAGTGCGGATTGACTTGCGGCACAGGGTATCTTAGGTTTTGTCTGCAGGTATCGTGCATGTGCTCTGATTAGCTGCTTGCAGTAGCTGCTTGGTAGTATTACTGTGTATTGCTTACTTTAATTATCATTTTCATCATATGTAAAATAAAGCTAGTTTTAATATCATTGTTTTGTGTGCATATTGGTGTACACGTGGGAGTCTTTTAAATAGAATTATCAGTTTTGATAATCTGGATGTTGCGAAATTGAGACAAAGTAGGGTTGCTGTAAACACATAAAAACTGTATTTTTTTTTCCTTCTTCTGTCCTTTCTCTTGTTGATCCCTCCTCTTCTCTGTCTTTTCCTTTCACTTTATCTGAGTTTTCCTGACTAATTCAATGTCTTTTCCCCAAAGTACTAGTATGTATAAAGACAAAAGCATGTATTTTTAAGTTTTATAGTACAGCGTAGTCAATAAACCAGATATGTAGATTGGAAGAATACCTCAAAAAAATGAGGCAGACTAAGAGTAGAAGACTTGGATGAAATAAAACAGTACGTTAAATCTGTTTAAACCTCTGTCAGAATGACAAGGAAAGTGGAGGGGGAGCTCGTAGTACTGCAGTTCAGGGCTGTTAAACGGTGTAGTTGTGATCACTCGGTGAAGTTTATTGTAAATTCATTTATGTCTAGAACTCTTACTAGAATGTGGCTGTGTTTCATAAGAAGCTAGGTATATTTCAAATGCTACTTTTGAAAATTAACGAGAAAGGATCGCTGCAGGTCAGGGCGGTCCCGGGGTTGGGAACGTTCTCCTTGTCCAGCTCGGGCACCTCTGGAGTCACATGGATGGACGGCCCCATCCCCAGCACTGCCGAGAGCAGAGAAGGATGTTCTTGAAAAGATACTCCGGAAAGGACTCAGGAGTGACTTTCTTGGAGATTTGCTCATGGTGTATTTCCTGTTCCTCTTTGAAGGTGATCGGATCATTAAAGTCAACGGAGAGAGTGTCATTGGAAAGACCTACTCCCAAGTAATTGCCCTAATCCAGAACAGGTGAGGCTCTGGGAACAGTGAATTTTGGCCCGGCCCAGGCTTTATAAAGCAGCAGAGCAAGTAGATCGTACACACTGTGGTGCCCTTGTAAGGGATGGATGTGTCGCAGGGATGCCAAATGTATTTCACAGTGGCACTTGAGACTTGCCAAGAACCACCTGCCTAAGGACAGCTGAGCTGATGGCTTTGCTTTGGCAGATGTGTCAGATTTGTGATTAAAATTTGTCAGCCTGAGTAAGTTACACACTTTTGTTTAAGGTGGCAAATACATAATGTTTAAAATAAATGTAAACCTAGTTTAAAACTTTTTAATGTATGTCACTGAATATTCTTATTGAATAAGCTTTCTGTCGTAAATTCTTTCGTTTTAACCAACATAGCAGGATATTTGTTTTTACTCATTTGTCTGCCTACAATCTGTAGAATAATACAGTAGGGCCTTAACGATGATCTAGTCTGTGTCTCTAGCACACACACACCTAGAGAATTCCAAATAATGAATAAAGAAATCAAATCCAAAGGGGTTATCATACTGGATTTTTGTGAAGAATAGGCCAGCAATCTGGGTCTGATTTTCAGATCAGAACTGTTCTAAGCCATTCTTCCCAGCCTGAAATGCCATGACTTTGTGGTTAGCTAATGTTTTCTATTAGCTTTACTCACCTTCTTATAATACATGAAATTCTTCATTTTCTGAAGGTGTTGATCATGTTCTCTAAGACGTATCTAAAGCAGTTTGTACTATAGTCTAACTTAGTCACACTAATGCTCAACCTATTGTCACTTTGTACATTACCCACTCATGATTAATTGACCTCAGAGTATTCCTTTTAGTGTTTTAATATTTAATACTACTTTTAGAAAAAACAATTTTCTTCTTTTTTGGTGTTAACTGGGGTTGAATAACCAGGGACTTGCACAGAGACCCATCCCCAGCCTTTTTTCATTTTGAGACAAGACCTCACTAAGCTACTAAATTGCTCAAACTTGAGTGGGAGTCTGGAACCCGCCTGCCTCAGGCTCCCAGAGTGTTGGGGTTACAGGCTTGTACCACCATGCCTGGCTGAGAAAACAACTCTTAAATCTTGCCTGCAATGTCAGCGATGAATTTAAAACCTTCATGAGGCAGCAGAAGATCTACCAACATTTTAGTTTCTTGGCAGTCACTGAAATCTTCATAAATACACCAGTATGTTTTGTCAGCCTAGAACTTAAGGATGTTTTGTGTTAGTATGTCTTCTTTTAAAATATTCTAAGCAACCACATCTTGATCTTTTGTGTTCTTCAAAATCTATATAACTTTTCTGTTACTGGTGTAGATCTTTCAGAGTAAACAACACTTTGGAATAACAGTCTTAATTTTCAATTTTCAGTCAATAAAAGCAGTTTGAAAATTAGGGAAATGCTGTTTTTTCATGATCTTATTTTCTTTTAAAAAATTGTGTTGTCCCCCTCACCTTGTGGCTTTGTCTCATAAAACACCTTTGAGAAATTGGGTGAGCGGGCAACCCACTTCCTGGTCCCCCTTCTGTCTCTTTTAGAGAGAAGCTACCTTTCAGTAAATTTTTCCTACTCTTTAAGAAAAAATTGTGTTCTTATTGTCTGCATTTGTTAGAAGTGGATAATGTGATAGTCACTGAGATTCTGCAGTGCACTCATGTAAAATGTATTCTTGCAGAAGAATCTTTCTAAGCATCAATATGCATTTTCAGATGACTTTACTGATTTACAAATGCCCCTAATTTTACTAGTTATATTTATTTGAACCTATTATTTTCATTGATGTGCCATTCTCTTAGGATTTATTAACCTAAATTATGGTTCAGATCTACCAAGAAGAGACACTAGTAAATTATTAGATTTTAAGTTTTAGTTGTTTGCTTAATTGTTGATTTATATTGAAAAAAAATATGATATTGTTAAAAGAGCTGTTAGCACGCTTGATGGATGGGTAGAGCATCGTCACCCTGACTATATCAGAATGTAATTCAATTTAATCTCCCTCTTTGCCCTTTTTTTCCTTCATTGTTCTGGGGATGTAACTCAAGGTTTTGCATGTGAGGCAAGCTCTCTTATCCCTGAGCTGTGCCCCAGCCTCCCTTTGACCTTGCTAAACTAGAGACTTCTCTATATGTTTAACAGAATATTTATAGCATGAAAATAAAATAAGAGTTTGAGCTGTTTCTGAAAGGCTGTAAAATTAAATCATAGAGCTGAAAGCAAGTTATTGTCAGTTCTTAAAAATAATTTCAATAGTTGTAATAGTGAACTGATTTCCTTTACTGAGGATGAGGGAATATTTCAAAATTAGGATATTTAATGATACTTTTGTTAAATTTGAGGGGCACAGTGGTAGAGGGCTTAGTATGTTCAAGGCCTTGAGTTTAATCCTTAGAAACATTAAAAATAAAAAAAGATTAAATTTGAGGGTTTTATGGTCATTCAGGTAGGTTTTAGCTTGCTAGACCATGTGATAAAAATCCGTTTTCTGATTTGAATAAAACCATAGGTAATTGTGTATTGAGTGTATGGATGTGACACTTTATATTTCTGAAGTAGAAGCACATCAGAAGACTTGACTGAGTATAAGTATAAGTAGCACAACCGTATAGCAGACTGCTCTCTTGTACATTATTGACTTACCTGTATCAGAGCTATTTCTTCTTGTTCTAATAATCCGGTCATGAAAACTAAAATTTTAAAAATCCAAAATTATTTTACTTTAGAATATTGCTTAGTGAATGACTTTTCTTGTAAGTCTTTATTAAATCTTCTAAAGCAGTGCCATATATTTAATTCCAGTGGTGCAACGTTGGAACTTAGTGTGATGCCAAAAGATGAAGACATTCTCCAAGTGGTAAGTTCTGAGTATGAATTGCTTCATAGCCATGAATGTTGCTAAAGTAGCTTTCAGAGAGAAAGTGGATTGTATCAAGAATGATTCTAGAATCAAACAGCTTCCTGGTTGTAGAGAAATCTAGAATTTTCTCTACATTTAATAAACAAGATCATTGTCATTTGTACGGAATGAAGTGATAGGAGAATATTTTATTGATTCTATGATGAATCAATGTTTACCTTTAGGATGAAATTCCTAAAAAGTTTGACCCCATGCTGCATTGTAGGTAGCCATTTAACCAAAAGCCAAGCTCACAGAGCAACCGCATGATGCTGGGGGTGAGAATCTTTCCCTCTCTCTCTCATGCCTGAGGATATGAAAGCCAGTCCTATTTTCCGGTCAGTACTACTGTTTTAAATCAGTCAAGCTGTGTTGTTGTCGTCAATTCATTCCGTTAGGTCTAGTGTTCATAATGAATGGAATTTATAACGAGGAAAAAAATGTTAGAAGAAATAAAGCTACGTTGGGGGTAAAAAATAGCAGTCTAAAACATTTTTTTAATGTTTTTAGAAACTTAATGGAATACTTATTAAGCTTAAATATTTCTGGAATAAGATTAAAAAGATCATAAAACATAAATTTTATTCAAGAAAATAATGTAGTTTTCTGCAGTTCACTTTGTTAGCTCAGTGGAATAAAAAGATTGAGCAAAACCCTTTACCTGATGCACTGGCTGTGAACAGCCGTACGAAGTGGCAGTGGCCACCAAAATAGTTTTTTAAATTCCTTTTAGTAAATGTTGAGTATTTCCTTATTATTTCTGAATTCAAGAAAAACAGGGAACTTAAAATTTGAATTTAGCTCAACAAACATCCTAAGTAAACTTTGTGTACAAAGTTTTGTTTTCAAAAAAGTTACAAGCAAATTTTCTAGTGACGCGTCCTACTCACCGACATGTAGATATCCTAACTGAAGCCTGTGGATGTGGACTCAGTGTGGTCAGGTGTGTCCATTTCCTGTGGGAGTGGCTCCTCTGATGACGGGGGCCTGGCCCTGTGGGGTCTGGAGGTCCGACAAGGCAGGTGCAGCCTACGGTGCTGCTCTCAGGCCCACGAGAGGCGGTTACGGATTCCGGACCCTTGTACTGCAGCTCTGTGCCCGAGGAGCAGATGCAGCCATTGCTGTCACTGGAATCTTCAAATGTGAAAACAGATGTGACTTCCCAAACTTAGCTGTTTTTTAAACTTGAGTACGCTTGTTTCCTTGCCAAAGAGCAGCGTTCATCTTGCTGAATGCCTTACACTGTGCCGAATTTCTGAGGAAGGAATTCAATGCAGACTTGCCTGGTAGCCTGCCATGTGATACCTGAAGAGTGACAACTGTACGCAGTGAAAGGAGTCATTTTCTGATGTGATGATCAGTGGGAAGGGAGATAATGTGCCTTGTCTTACGTACAGTATGTGTGAAATTCAGCATAGCAAACAGAATGTGTTTAGTAGCGAACATGAGCTACAGCTCTCCACGGCTCATCAGTAAAGGGTTGGGGTAGAAGGTAAAGTTAATTTTTAAAAACAGCACTTGAGTTATTTTAATCATAAATTCAAAGTACGTCTTTAACGATGAAGGAAAACTCTACTTTTAAACTTAGCCATAATTCACATTTTAATATACTATATGTATATATCTGTAATTTATGCATCATTTCATAAAAGATATTAGGATGTTGCAATTTTTCACGGTGACATCTACCAGTGTCATTTTTTTAGAACTAATATAAAACACAAAGAGAATCTGGGATTTTAGAAACTGTTTGTAGAGATGCTGTCTCTAGCACAGACAGAGCTAAAATGTCCTATAAGGGGCCATTAGAAAAGCACCTAAACTGATCTATATTTGTTACTCAAATGGTAGGCTTTTAAAGATGTGTTGGTCTCTATGAGGTTGAATATCCATTGTGAAGTAAAGTTCAGTAACAAGAACATTTTTCACAGCCACTGTGAAAATCATTTACCCACGGGGAGAAAAGCCATGATAGTTTTTATATGTCTGCATGGGCCACAGCAGGATGAAGGATCATATGGGGTTAGTGTTTCCTAAAGTGAAGTGTGGGCCAGATTGTTCTGGAAGTTCTCAGCTCATTTTGGAGTGATGGCATAGAAAGTCTAGTTTGGTTTAAAACCCACAGAAAGATAACTAAAAAACGAGTCATTTATTATGTCTTAAAATTAGTAGTCTTTGTAGGGCTGGGGATTTGGCTCAGTGGTGCCGCCGCCTGCCTTGCAAGCTCAAGGTCTTGAGTTCAATTCCTGATGCCCCCTCCAAAAAAAAAAAACAAAAAGAAAAAAACTAATGTTTATAATAATACTCGTGTGCTTGGCAGCCTCATTTTTAAGACAACATATGTTTTTTTCAGTTAATAATGTAAACAGTGTTACATTCAGGTCACTGGCAGCATTAAAAGTATTTTAGACTGATACCTCAGGTTCACATTTCTAAGGAGTTATTACAGAACAAAAAGCACTTGTTTTATTATCAAAAAAGTTTCGTTTCCCATCAGATGCTGTCTCTGCATGAATGAAATACCCACCGCCCATCTAGCCACCTCAGCAAAGACACTGACTGACTGAATCTGTTGAGGTTGCTGTAACAAAATACCCCGGACCAGATGGCTTATAAACAACAGATACTTTCTCCTCCTAGTTCCAGGAGCTAGGAATCTGAGACCTAGGCTCAGGTAGTTCCAGTGCTTAGTGGGGTTGGTTTCCTCAGGGGTGGTGCCCGCTCACTGCGTCTTCTGCTGGCGGAGAGGCCAAGGTGGTGGTGTGGGGCCGCTTTCATAAAGGGGGATCTGCATTATGACTGCACCCCGTCACCCCAGTCTTGCATCCTCATGTGAATCAGTATATAAACAGCCTGCGCCATGGGTTCATCTCTCTTTGCGTGGAATAGTGACAGGAGAATAGATGGGGGCATTTTTCTCAGTGCACAACACAAGATATTTTATAAAGCATTTGTCTCAGTGGATCCAAAAATCACACTTTAAGTTAGTTTTGATAATTCTGGTAATCTTGGGCATGTGCAGTGTTTTGGCCAGGCATTTTCAGCATGCTCTGTGCTGTTCTCTGTTGCACAACTCTGTACTTCAGTGGGTAGCAGGATTCGAATTCCGCTAGGTCTGAGACCAAAGGCTGCACTCCAAACCGGAGCTATCCTGCCATCCAGGACAGATGACTTGGGTGGTGTAAACTGAGAGTAACTGAGCTCACACAGTTATTGCTGTACTTTTGGCTCGTTACTTTGTTTATTATGGTAGTGGGAGTTGAACCCATGACCTGTGCACTGAGTGGCATCCCTATCCCTTCTCTTTGTTCTTGGGTTGGGACTGGGTCCTGGCTGAACTTGTGGTCCTCCTGCCCCAGCCCTAACTCAGCCTTTCAGGGTTTGAGTCTTTTTGCCACTCCCTGCGCATGTGATAGAAATTTTAAAAAGTCATTTAATCTAAGGTTTTCTTTAAACTTATTAGGGTTACTTTTTTGGTTTGGTTTGGTTTGGTACTGGGGATCAAATTCAGGTCCTTGTGCTTTGTGAGGCAGGTGGCAGAACCACTGAGCTAAATCCCCAGCCTTATTAGGGTTACTTTTAAAACAATCACTTCTTGCGTCCCATGGTCAACATCACATTGTGTTTGAAGTTAAGTGTAGGTTTGTCACAGGTGGATCCAAGCCCTGCCTAAAGTAGGGAGGGAAGCAAGAGTAGGAATTTTGGAAGTTGTTTTCGTATTTTGCAGTTAGCAGCAGTTACTTGGTTCTTTTGCAGTAAATCTGTTTTTAAGCTTAAGAAAGTTACATGCTTGTTGAAATTTTTTCAAATATTGTAGAAAGGTATAGAAGAGCTGAGGGTGTGGCTTGGGGATAGAGCCCTTGCCTGGCTTTCTCTGGCCCTGGATGCAATCCCCAGCAAGAATTCATTATTAATTAAAGTTAAGAAAGGTGTTCAAAAAAATCCAAGTCCTTCCCCATCCACGGCACTCCTCCCCTCACACCTGACCGTCCCTGCACAGACAAATACACAGTTACTCTCGGCGGTGTGGCATTAAACTGACAGTTGACCTGTTAAGGTGAGCTGGGGGCCTAGAATTTCAATCTCATTGGTCTGTTTTTCTAGTCTGTGGGACATTTTGTTTTGCTCTTATTTTTTTCTTTGTTTTTGCCATTTAATAGTATCATAGGCATGGTACTAGTGATTTTTTTTTTCTATTACCAGGGATCGAACTCAGGACCTTGCACTTGGGAGCAGGTGGCAGAACCACCATGTGAAATCCCTGGTCCAGTAGTGATTTTGATGTGACTACTTCAAAAATGAACTAAATGATTATTTTAGGAGTATTTAGTGACTGTTAAGCCTGATACCTGTACTCTAGAACAGACTATGAATAAATAGTAAATGTTACTTCGTAGACTCCTCACGATCCTAATTCCAAATGAAGAACCTTGGGGTCATCTCACTTTACTTAATTCTTCCCGGCTTCTTTTTTAAAGAGTCTGGGGCTCTAGGCAGCGCAGCAGAGTTGCACTGTCCTATTTTAGGGATGACTTCAATTTTAAAAGTGTTAAACCTTCTATAGGAAAAAGTACATACAAAAGAATGTAGTGCAAAAGGCTAAGTGAAAAATATTGGTTACTTTTTCTATATTCCATTTTGGCAAAAATTTATTGCCTGTATCCATCGATGACTTGCATATATTGTGTAACGTTCATTTGGACTCAAAACCAAAACACGGGTATTCCTAGGTGAACCTACAGTTCTTAGTGACATTAGTTTAAAGCGTTTCTAGGTCACATTATTCCGTAATGGTTTTGGCATCAGTGCTTAAGCATGCAGATTAACAGCGTTGGTGAGAATGTACTTTGTTTAGATGAAGTTTTGTGCCCTTTAATTAGTGTGCAGTGACAACTCAGAGTTCTCCAGTGGGGAGTTGTAGCATCGTCTGTGGTGTCAGACTGCGGTGACTCGGTGCAGGAGCGGTGTCCAGTAACCAGGCTCACGGGAGAAAGCCCAGCGCGGCCCCCGCGGTGAGCAGGCTGTAGACGCCTGTCCTGTCCCGGAATATCGGACCACATCGCTGCACCTGGGTTCATGCACTTCGGAGCTGCGCATCGCGTGTGATCCCTGCCAGCTGGCCCGGCAGCAGCCTGTGCTGATGGCTCCTTCCTCAGCCCTCCCGGGAGGAGGTGGTTTTCCAGGGCCGCACTCATTGGCAGTGTGGGAGAAGAGCGGCCCTTAAGGTGCTCAACGCTGCTCCTTATTTACTTCCTGAACCCTGTCTGGAAGCTGATTTGTGTCTTGTGCCATTTCTCAGAATAGCCATGCGTGTTCCAGACTCTTTTCAGGCATGTCTCGACCTGCCAGTGAATACCTTGTGGGCACTTTTATTTCCCCATGAATGCCAATTTAGAAAGATACCGGTTCTTAAATTTTATGAGAATGAAGAGCCTCTAGGTAAACAGAAATAAAGAGATAAATGAGCAAGTATTTTTAGTGCCCATGAACTAAAACTTCGTCAGGGCACCGGTACTGCTCTTGGGTGGACCCATACTGGGCAGTCGGTCCACTGGGCAGTCGGTCCTGTGTGTGGAGCACCTCTGCTATGCCTGGTCTGTGTGTGTGGACCTGAGGACCGCCTGTCATAATTTACTTAGATCTGAGGCCCTGGAGCTGCAAGCTGTTTAGTATTTAGAACTGCTATGGAGGGATCCTAGACTATCTGAAGTAAAATTATTTAATAGTTTGAGCTACCTGTTTCTGTTACTACAAGATAATATACTCCCCTTAATTTGCACAAAGGCGGTATCTCAAGTGATTAGTTCTGTACAGCATTTCCCAGGCAGCTCCTCTGATCATGCTGACCGAGGACAGTGTCCCGTGAGGACTGTTTGTCCTTTAGTTTCACAGTGTGTGCCACTGTTGTGGTGGCTCTGAGGTGGCAGGAGCTTGCCGATTCTGTGCATCCCTGCCACAGGGAGGGCCCTGCCCTCCTTTAAGTGGTGCAGAAGATGTCACAGCCGGCTGCAGGAAACGCCGCCCTGCACACTACAGGAAGCTTCGTCCACTTTCCCTGTCACAGAAAAGCAGTGGTGTGGATATAATCAGCACGAGAAAGCTAGGCCGGTTATATCTCTGCACATCCTGAGATGCAAATGCTTGTTTGGATTGACTGTGTTTATGCTGTAAAAATATCATGGTATGCATGTTTTCTTTTCTTGACTTAGCTTGCATTTCTCACTGAATTCCTGTGTTCTATAGTATTCATTACAAGTTTTACTCTGGAAGTAATATTTTGTATGCATATGTAGTAGTTGTTTCATAAATCAGTAAACAGTAAGCAGTACAAAAGGTAGTGTTGAAAGGTCTCTATTTTTGAGAGAAATCTATTTAACAAGGCAGTCTCTTTCCCCCAGATGATAGGGTAAGGGTGGCTGCAGTCAGCCGACAGCCTGTGGTTATGCTCTGCTTTACTGGGGAAAGAGGAGGTCGTACTATTTTAAATGCATGATAGCATTCGTTTCATCACTTGGAAGCAGGGATGGGAGACGCTCAGGGGAAATGAGAGAGAGCACTGTTGCTCCTGTGGAAGGGAAGCTTTTGTAGCGCATTAGCAGACAGCAGAGTTTATTGAAGAAAATACCTGTTAGGGGTGCGAGTCACCGGATGTGTTTTGCCTGCAAGAGTGGCAGACAAATCAAACAAGAGCCAGATGAAAGCCTGAGGGGAAGATGCTCAGAAGGATCCTGAAGTTATTCTTTGTGCTTCACTGCCCTTTACCTCTCTTGGTACCTTCCAGAGAATTCAGTATAGATGTATTTTTAGCTTGCCGTTTCCAGCGTCAATATGACAACATGGTTCTGTCTTTATATCAGTAAGCAGCTTCTGCTATGTTTTCCTATCCTCTGCTAGCTACAGTTTACGAAGGATGTCACAGCACTGGTAAGAAATGCACAGTAGCCGTTTTTCTTTGCTTGTTAAGTCTTGTTTTATAGATGTTTGTAATAAGCCAATCTATTAAAACTGTAAGTTTGCTTACAGAAATTCCTCCATAGCGTTATCTTACTAATTTACAAAAAAGTGTGATGTGTGGTTTTCCTTCTTTCTTTCCTGTCTGTGTTTTCTTTTGTATCCTGCACATAACTGGTGTTAAAGCGTAATATTTATCTGCATTGGTCTATTTTAAAGCATCTCCCTTTCGCTGGTACTTTGCTGTTACGCTTGAGGCTGCATTTGTGCTTTGCAAGCTGTCTCATGTCAAGGTGGGATATGAGGACGGTCTCGAGCTAAGCTTGCTTTGATTAGGCCAGATTTGTTGGCACACTTACTGCCTGCCCAACTGCTGTTTTGTAGAGTCATGGGAATTAATTTCAGTTCTTAAATTTTTCAAAGGTATTTCTAGATAATTTTATAAGTACTTGATAAAAAATAATTTGAACTGCATGCCTGCGTGTTAGTAATACAGACTTGTCTTCTTAAAATAAGTAAATGACCAAATAAATCCATACAGTTTTGCTTAGCTTAAAATATAATGATATACAGAAAAAGACATTACCTTTTTCATGTTTGTGCTTCTTATACAAGTGCTTTTCATTGCATGCATATTCTTTTATTTTAAATATCCAAATATGTAGCATGGCTGTTGAAGGGCTAATCAAAATGGATTATTATTATTAAGGATTCGGTAATACTTAATCGGCAAGGCACCTCAGGAAATTATATTTATGGTGGTAGTGGTGGTTAAAATGAAAATTATTTGGCTAAGATTTTTTTTTTGGTACCGGGGATCAAACTCAGGTCCTTGTTGCCACTTGTGAGGCAGGCAGCGGAACCAATGAGCTAGATCCCCAATTTGGCTAAGATTTTTAAGATTTTTACCATGTCTCTGGCAAAATATGGCAATATTTTCTTGCTTAGTTTTATTAGACAGCCATTTAACCTATCGGCCACTGGAAAAAATCATGAAGTTCCAATTTAGAAGCAGCATGGCGTTATTTGTTTGGTTCAGGGAAATTTGATGTAGCTCATGTCTTTTGAGAAAACACATGATTACAATTTGTATTTGTTGCAAATTTTGTAGTTTATTTATTCATGCTCTGAGAGACTGTCTCTTTCCTAGATTTGTGGAGTTTGTATGTTATGTTTGCGTGCATGCTATAGTGAATGTCATTCGGGAGCAAGGTGGGGCGTAGTGAATCGTGACCTGACGACGTGGAAATGACCGTTCTGACGTTTCTTTTTCTATACAGGCGTATTCTCAGGATGCCTATCTGAAAGGGAACGAAGCCTACAGCGGCAATGCCCAGAACATACCTGAGCCTCCCCCAGTTTGCTATCCCTGGCTGCCACCTGTCCCTCCGGCCATGGCACAGCCAGCCGAAGTGTCTCCTCCAGACACATCCTCGAATAAACAGCAGACCACCACGCCAGTCCTGACACAGCCCGGCAGGGCCTACAGAATGGAAATACAAGTGCCTCCATCACCAACAGATGTTGCAAAATCAAACACAGCAGTGTGTGTTTGCAATGAAAGTGTAAGAACTGTCATTGTGCCTTCTGAGAAGGTTGTAGACTTGTTACCCAACAGAAACAACCACGCGGGTCCTTCACATAGAACCGAAGAGGTGAGGTACGGCCGAAGTGAGCAGGCCTCTTTAAAAGCAGTGTCGAGAACCACGTCACCGTCATCAGTGTCCGCTGCCCCTGTAGTTCATCAGACCGCAGGCTCCAGGTCGTCGGAAGCGTGTGGGATTCTGCTGAAGTCTGCCAATTACAGTGGCCACTCGGAAGGGGCCTCGAGCAGTCGATCTCCAGCTGTGGACTCGCCTTCTCTGTCTGTTCATCACTGCTCGCCCAACTCCCATCAGCACATAGACTGGAAGAACTATAAAACTTACAAAGAGTATATCGATAACAGACGATTGCACATGGGCTGTCGGACGATTCAAGAGAGGTTGCACAGTTTAAGGGCGGCATCGGAGAGCCCCTCGGACTACAGCCAGGTGGGGCCCGGCCGCCCCGCCCTGCAGGCACGCCGCCGCAGCACCTCCCAGGACAGGGGGCCCTCGGCCACCCCGCTCCGGCCGCGCAGCGTGTCCCAGGAGAGGCTGGAGGACTCGGTGCTGATGAAGTACTGTCCGCGGAGTGCATCCCAAGGAGCGCTGACGTCCCCCTCCGTCACTCTGAGCAACCACCTAACCCGCTCGTGGGATTACATCGAGGGACGGGGTGAGACCTTGGAACAGGCTGATTCTGAAAATCCCATGCCTGATTCCAGCGGAGAGCGAAAACAGACCTACAGGTGGGGTGGGTTCACTGAACAGGATGACAGGCGAGGTGTCTGCGACAGGTCCAGGCAGCACGAGACTCCTAAACTTTTCCGAGGTTCGAATTTGACTGTGGCCCCGAGTATTAGTTCTGACAACCGGCGGATCGTCGGTAGAGGGGTGGGATCCATGTCACCGTTTAAAAAGCTTCCACCCGATTTAAAAGCTCTGCCATCCAACAGAAGTTTGCAGGCTGCCAGTGGCATGTCTCTGCCTCGGGGCATTTCACAGGACAGGTCACCTCTTGTGAAAGTCCGGAGTCATTCTCTGAAAGCGCCTTCTACACATGTTGCAAAACCATCATTTAGCCAGAATTCATTGGTTTCTATCAAAGACCAAAGACCTGTAAATCATTTGCATCCAAACAGCATTTTGACTCAGCAGATGTGGCTCCGGGCTGAGTGCACCCTGGACCCCCAGCGGGAGGCCGGGAAGTCGTCCTCTCTCCCTGGAGCTTCTGCCAGGCCTGGCCCTCAGATGGACGAGAGCTTGAGCACCTCGGATTTAGAATTATCTGCCAGTCACAGGGATCCAGGCCTCGGCTTACAGGAGGCCGATGTTCCGCAGCCCCATGCTTTAGACAGTAAAGAAGCTGTCGTCCTGAGAGAAAAGCCTCCATCCGGCCGCCAGACGCCGCAGCCTTTAAGGCACCAGTCGTACATCTTAGCGGTGAACGACCAGGAGTCGGGGTCCGACACCACCTGCTGGCTGCCGAACGACGCCCGCAGAGAGGTGCACATGAAGAGGATGGAGGAGAGGAAGGCCTCCGCGACCAGTCCGCCCGGCGACTCCTTGGCGTCCATCCCGTTCATAGGTGAGCTGATGTCCACGGGCTCAGACGTTGAACGCTGACCCGAAAAATGTTTGTTGTGAAATTTGCAAGCTGTGCTTCAACCAGACCATCATGTTTTACCCTTAAAATTATTTCTGGTATCAGTTTTTCTTTTCTTTTAACTTCGTGTATCTAGCACTCGTTAATTTTAATTTTGACGAAACAGATTCCTACCATCTGGGGCCACAAGCATTGACAAGCCAGTCATGCCTGTTTGTTGGTTCACCCAAATAGAAAACCAAGTAGAACGGTTCTAATAATTAGTGACCAACCTTTCATTAAAACAGTGCCTTTTACTTCCTACAGCATTTTTACTTATTTGCTTGTTTGTAAATTGAACTTGGGCTGAGCGAAAAGACATCTCTCTGCCGCTCGCCCACTTCGCCTTAGTCAGTGGCGCAGTACGCAGGAAGGGGTCGGAGGACCGGTGCCCTGCGTCCTGAGCTGGTCCTCCGCACAGCAGCCCCGTGTGTCTCCACTCCGTTCCGTCTCCTGCTCTTCCTGCTGCCGCGCCAGCCCCTGGGTCCTGGAAGCGCCAAGCGCACCCTGCCCCGAGCCACCTCCTTCGTCCGGATTGCTCCTGAGCCGAGCAGCTCCTGTCCAGCCCGGCCCCAGCAGTGCCCCGCTCCACAAAAGCCAGCTCGTAGTTCTTATCACACCTTCTCTGTGGGGCTAAAATCTAAACGACCTGAGGGCCAGTATTTAAAATCTTTCATCAGTGCCAGATCCCTAGTGCCTAGAATACTGCCTGGCATACCAAAGGCACTCAATGAATATTTCTCAAGGCAGTGGCTGAATAATTTCAAGATGATAGTTAAATGTACTCTGCAACAAAACTTATTATAGAAGAACATCTCAGCAAAGTTACCGTGCGGCTCTAAGACATAGGCTACAGAGTTGTGACCCCTGTCCTCCTACTGCCGTCGTTTTATAGTTGTAGAAAGATTGTCTTCCCCCAGAGCACACAGTTAGCAGGTATTAGGGACGGAAGCCTGGTTTGCCTTCACCCGGCTGGATACGTCCTGGCCCCTTCTGTAGGTACCACACTGGGATGGTCGCCCTGGAACTGCGAAGACAGGCCTTGATTTGCACCGGGCACATTCTTAACCTTGCTACCTCAGGGTTGGGAAGAGCTTGCCATCATTTTACAATGTAATGTGCTACTTTTTGAGTAATACTTGAGTTTGTCTTTTCTAGGTAGGTTTTAAGCTTTAAAAGAAAATTCCACATAGCTATTCATTTTTATAAATGTGATATATTCATTTTTTAAATGTGGTGGAGAATCCCAGCCAGAATGCTATGCATAGTAGCTGTGCCCTTCAGGCCACACCCAATGAATTGTAGGAATAGTAGTCTTTCTTTTTTTGGGGGGTTCCAGGGATCGAACTGAGGATCTTGCACTTTTGAGGCAGGTGGGGTGCCACCGAGCTACACCCCCGGCCCTGAGTAGTAGATTCTCGTAAATGGAACATAATGTATCATTTGGGACATATTGTATAGAAAGTAACTGAAAACTAATGACTGTTTCATACTTTTTTTTTTTAAACATTAGAAGCCCTGCAACCTGCAGCTGTATTTCATAGCCTGGGAGTTCTTATCAGAACAATGGTACAGTTTCTTTCTATACAAGAAGAACATTATAGTCAGAGTGGTAAAAAATGTGTTGATTATTATCTGTTAATATTTCTTCCATTTACGAAGCACTCAACAGCATTATGTCATTAAAGAGAGTACTACAAAGTAAAGATCTGTGTGATTCTGTATACAGATAAAAACAAACCATTTTATTTGGTTATTAAGAATAAAAGTGTACATGATTTCTAACTTTGACTACTTACCAACATCTCTTTCATAGTTTGTAGTGAAAAATATTACTTGTTTTATAAGACACTGTTTTTTTAAAGTTGTCCAGCATAACAAATATTTTGTTTTGGTTGTGGTTTTTGAGACAGGGTCTCACTATGTAGTTGAGACTGACCGGGAACTATGTAGCCCAGGCTGGTCTCGAACTCACAGTGATCCTCCTGCCTCAGCCTCCCGAGTGCTGGGATTATAGGCGTGCGCCACCACAACCGGCAACAAATGTCTTTATAGCGGTGAGGATAAGGCTCAGCAGCATTGCGCCTGCCTGGCAAGCACAAAGTCCTGAGTTCCATCCCTAGTACTTAAAAAAGAAAAAAGGTATATCTTTCTAGCCCAGTTATTTCACGTATGCCTCCTACAACCTGAGTGCGCAGCTCGTGGTTACCGTGGTGCCAGCGCGTCTCCAATAGCAGAATGGGGTAGAACGGAGGACCGCGGTGCTGGTGCAGAATTCACTTCACCACGGTTCTGTGTGTGAGTATTGCCCACGACGTAAGGGTCTGACTGTGACTGACCTGAGGAGCAGGACGCTACCCTGAGTCTTCATGCGTTGTCATGGTTCTCACACAGCGGATTCTGTCAAGTAATGGCTCTACAAACCGCTTACTTTCAGGGTTTGTCTAGTTTTTAGACGTGGAAAGTATCATGTCTTTTGGTTAATATATTTGCCTCCTTTCTGTGAAAAACTTGGTGATTTAAAAAATTCTATACCAAAAGGATTAAAGTCTAAAAACTATTTACCAGTTCTCCACATTTTGTTGGTAACCTTGTGTGTGTGTGTATATAAGAACTTTCAGTGTTTTGTTAGGTAGAAATTTTAATACTGTGTATTTTTAAAATCCCAACATATATTATTGAACTTTAAAAGTCTGGTTTTAAATGGTTAAACAAGTTTTTATTGTTTTTCTTCAGAACTCTTCAGAATCATTAAGTTGCTATTATATATTAAGTTTTTCCAGGCAGAACTTAATTTTCTCAAAAAAAAATTTTTTTTTGAACAGGAACCCTTTTATTTAGAGTTTCTCATGGGATTAGGGTATCATAAAACACTTGTAGGGAATTCTGTATTATTTTTATGCAGTATTTAAATTGAAAGAAATAAATGAAACTTTGCTTTTATATTGTTAGACCCAGAATTTCATAGCCTGTTATTTACATAATTACTTTTATTAGTTGAACACAGGCAAACTGATCTACAAAAATAACTGAGTGCTGTGGCTTATTCCCAAAATAATCAGAAAATAGTGCCAAATCATTTATTTATAATACAGTTAATTACATGTCTTACAGTAAGAAAATTCTTCTTAACATTTTGTTACACATTTAATCTAATATTGCTCTTGTGCCACAGATGCAGAACAATCGAAAATAAATAGTTTAAATTTAGGAATAGCATCAACAGTATTTTGCATGCACATGCATATTTTAAAAGGCTCCTTAATAAGTCAAAAGTAAATCTTAAGCTTTTTATACGTGGATACTCAGTGTTTAGCTCTTTATAAGTAGTTTGACTGTGTCGTCTCAGCTCTGTGGGAGGCTGAGGCAGAGGACTGCGTGAGCCTGGGCCCCTGGGCTTACCTGCACGACGCAGTGATCTTGCACTCCCTCTCACTCGGACATTTATGCCTGCTGTTCGCTTCCTGTGCCTTAAACTGACTCAAGAGAAATAAAAAGAAAGGGTATTTGTCACATTTAAATTTATTTGCAAGACAAATCTGTAAGTGGCATTTATTCTTCTTTTCCTTTATGGGTAAAGAAAAATCTCAAGGGCTTTAAGCATCCAAGTACGTGACATGCAGGCTGCTCTGCAGGCCATTTGCACGCAGTGCCCCTCCTAGCAGTTGGAATAGCACTGATATAATGAGTTTCTAAACACAAGCGCTGGTAGTGTTCTGCAGCTACACATAATTTTATGTTCGTCACCACTTGTTTCAAGTTATACAAATTTAAAAAAAAAAATGAGCCAGGGATTTAGCTCAGTGGTTTCACCGCCTCCCTCGCAAGCAATCCCCGGTACCCCGCTACCAAAAAAAGTTACACAAATTTACCCCTCTTGTAAACCATACACAATTTCCTTTATAATTGAAATACGTAACTAATATGCTAATGTTATATACTTTATGATGGGACCAGGGATTTAGTCTGCCTGCAAGTGCAACGTCCTGAGTTCGATTCCTGGTACCAAAACAAAAAACAAAAAAATCTACGATGTAATTTAGAGGGGGTAAGATGGTAAGATTACTTTTTTGTTGTTTTTTTGTTGTTGTTTTTGAGATGGGGTCTCACTGTGTAGTTGAGACTGACCTGGCTGGTCTTGAATTTGCAGCAATCCTCCTGCCTCAGCCTCCTGAGTGTTGGGATTAGGTGTGCACCGCCATGCCCGGCTAAGATTACTTCTTTATAGCAGGGGTGAAATAAACAGCAACATTATTTCAAGGAACAGATTATTTTGCATTTGGGTATATGCCAGATGTTATGATACTTTTACTGAACTATGTGAATTCGCAGCTATAATTATAAAATTTAAGCTGGACTGCTTATGTTCTTCCAGAATAGTTATCTGTGAGAAGTAATCCTTATAACTTAGCTTATTTTAGAAAGACTTTTATTCTTCATTTTTTTCCTCTGTTCTAACCTGCAGCATTGAACATCGGGTACTTTAAGGAGTGGTGGTATTTGTTAAAGGGTGATACAGACCCTTATCATTTTCACCGATTGGCTGTGTCACTGGGGCTCTAACCCCGCCCATCCCTTTTAAGTTCTGATTTGAGGCAGGGTCTTACCAAGTTGCCCAGACAGGACTCATACTTGGCAGTTCTCCAGCCTCAGCGGAGATCCTGAATTTGCTTATTTCTAACAGTTTTTTGGGAGGAATTGGTAGGGTTTTGTATATATGTGATCATGCCATCTGTATGCGAGGGCGGCTTTACTTCTTGCTTTCCAGTGGCTTGCCTTAGATTTCTCTTCCTCAAGCAGATACTCTGGCTAGGATGTCGGTGGTGAGCGTGGGCGCCCTCTCCTGGCCATGTCCTCCCCCTTTTACATTGCTCCTGATCATCTTGCTAACAGAGTATTTCAAATTGGAATATTATAATATGCCAACAAGTAATTTTATCTCAAAATTAAGAAGTTCTCAGTAGACCTGGTTCCATGTATGGCTAGATCCTAACTCAAGATGAGGAACCTTTTCCTCAGTTTTGCTTCCTTCTCTGATATTTTTCTTCACATGGTAGACAGGGTAGATTATGGCAACTCGGTGGGTTGATTCTTGTTCGCCCTGGAGGAGATGAGACAAACTGTAAGTTTCTTATTGTGCGTTTCTTGATTCTGAAGGGAATACCATTGTGGGTCCTCAGGGGACCGCACCCCTTCCCTTGTCCCGTCGCCTTGGACTCGGGTCAGCCAGGGCCCGATGGTGCTGCCCAGCCCTGGGAAGGGAGGCGCTCATTGAGCTCTGGGGGCCTCGGGGGAGACGTGGGCAGCTAAACACCTCACCACTGTCCTCGTGTGGTGAGACACTAGGAGGGGTTGGCTCTTAGAAGATGAGAGTATTTGTCAGTTTCTACAACATGGAAACGTCACCATCGCTAATGTCACCTTCCCTTTATTTGATTAATAGTTTTTCAGAAGGTTTTTTTCCCTATGTTTTTATTTGGCTTTTGTATTTCTTCTATGAAAAACAACTGTGATAGTTACGTAGAATTTCATAATATATCTGCTTGATTTTTGTACATTTGTTTGATTTCTGCAATTTCTAAGTTTTTTTCTAGTATATTAATTGATAACCAAAAGCAAATAATTTCTTATTCAGATATGAATAATCAATATAAACATAACTTGGAGTATTTTTCATTTAGAAATATCTAAATTGAATTATGTGGTATATAATATCTATGGGAATAAGTGATTTATCTGTGTTTGAAAAACACCTTGCCAAAAAAGTAAGACATTTTTTTAAACATTTGTTTATGTATTTTGCACATGAAGAAATAGTGATGACACTGAGTTTTAGTATATAACAACTGGGATGTCCTCCCCCTTCTCTTTATTTTGCAGAACTGTGGGGCCTTTGTGTAAAAAAGTGAGTTAGGGCCTACTTTTCTGTGTGTGGTGTTGAGGATTAAACACAGGGTTCACACGTGCTGTGCAAATGCTCTACCACAAAGTTAAATCGCTAGCCCTTTTTCTTGTAATTTCATTTATGACACGCTCTCTCCAAGTTGCCTAAGCTGGCTTCAGACTTGGGGTCCTCCTGCCTCCGCCTCTGGAGGGACCGGGATTACAGCCTTGAACCACTGCTCCAGGGTTAAAGCCTCATTTCTTAAGTCAGCTCTTTGGTTCTACACAGTTGATATAGAAGATTGCGCCTCTTGATGATAATCGTGTAGGCCTGAGAGTTTATCACTCTGTGTCTTCATATGTCCATGCCTTAATGTAGCATATGATAAGCCTGGGATAGAAGTGATTGGTTGGTTTTCATGTGATTTATTTCATTATTTAAAAATCCAGTTGAAAATGTGACAGCACAGTGGTTTTCAGCATATTTGTATATGAGTTGAGATTTTTTTCCCATGAACAACTGAAGATCTATCTTATTTGAAAATGAGATCAATCTGAATTTTTCTTGTTTTTATATAATCTAATATTGGTGATATTTAAAGTTTTAAAGCTTGGCTTAATCACAACAAATTAGATTATTTTTAGCACAAAAGTTTGCATATTTTTAAAGGGCATAAAGAATTGGTTTTATTAATATAATTAATAAATAAGAGGTAATGTAGTTGCTCATTTTAAAAATATACCTAAGCTTTGTGTTTTCTCCTCTTAACATTAGTGATCTGTATAAAGAATGCGAACAGTACCGAAATGCCAGTCTCTTTTTCCACCCCTCTTCCATGTCGTCCTAGTCCCCAGGACAAATTAGTGTCTGCCTTTCCACCTTTTTTTTGAGCCCAGCACCTTTGCCTCCTTTTCACTCTGAGTTTCCCAGGCTGGGCTTGAACTTGGAGTCCTCCTGCCCCAGGTCCCCAGAGTGCTGGGATTGCAGGAGTGTGCCGTTAAAACCAAGACTTGAATCTAGCATGTTTCAGAAATTTCCTCTATGTGATATTTGTCCTTCTGTGTCTGGTATATTTCCTAAACGCAGTGTTACCGGTCCATCTGTGTCATCAAAGGTGACGAGATTTTGTACTTTTTGTGACTGGTATTCTGTCATACAACACACACATGCACACACACACGCGCGCGCGCACACAGTTTCCTTTGTCTGCTCTTCATCGTTAACATTTAGGTTGATACTACAATGCGGCCACTGTGAGTGGCGCTGCAGCATGCGTGGAAGGTGCCAGTCTGGCACACTCACCGCATTCCCCTGGACGTGTGTCCGGTACGGGATGGATGAGCTGATGGCGATCTGTGTTTAGTGTTTTGGGGAGCCCCTGTATCGTTCCCACAGTGGCTGTACTAATGTATGCATTAGTACAACCAGAAGCGTGGAAGAGTTCCTTGCCAGCGTTTGTCGTCTTTTTGATCATAGGAATTCTGAGTGATGGAAGATTTAAGTCAGGCACAGAACAGTGAGCTCTAGGGTCTTACTCATATATGAAATCTAAAACAGTTGACTTTACAGAAGTAGAGAGTAAGAGTGGTGAACCAGAAATGGGGATTTCACCCCATGACATTTACTTTTAAATTGGTGCATATAGGACTGGGGATTTAGCTCAGTGGTTCTGCCGCCTGCCTTGAAAGCACAAGGACCCAAGTTCGATCCCCAGTACAAAAAAAAAAAAAAATCAGTGCATATAAATTTACTTTGCAAGGCATAAGATTACTCTTCTCAAAGATGAATTCTACATCTCACATGCTCTCTTTAACACAGTAGTAACTGCATATCCCCGCATAGTTGCTAGCCTTTGAGAAATGTTACAGGAGTTTCATCTAAGTTTTTTTTTAAATTTCAATACCTTTTTCTCTATTAGTTTGTGCCATGGGTCTCCTATAATAAATGTTTTTGCTGCAAAAATATCTTCAGACTATTTACGGTATTAATACTGGCATTAACCAGATAATTTCTAAAGAAGGCAGTGTTTCCCATTCACATCAGTATTTATGAATCGCTAAGGAAATGGTAAGCTGGCAGACTCCACAGAACCAGCTTACTTTATATATATATTAT